CCTAAAAGAAAGAAAATTTTGGGAACTGCTCTGAGACTGTTCTTCCACTGTAATGCTCTGGTACCAGCGCAGCCCTTCCCTTTCTGCTTTCCCTTCCTTAGTAGAGGAAGAGACCATTTTGTCAGTGTGTGAGACACATCCAGACTGAGGAAAAAACTGAATTATTCTGGCCCTCTTTTGATAGTAAATGCCATTACCTATGTTTTCCTTGGGAAGACGTCCTGTGCAGCAGCTTTTGCAGTGCCACCGCTGCCATGTGGCAAGTCATTACTGCAGCAACTGCTACTTCAGTAACTAAACAGCAGTTGTAAAGCTCTTGGAGTTGTATTTTCAGCATTTTTCCCCGCTCTCCTGCTCTTGTGAGCCACAGTCAAAGGAAAGCAAGCAAGTGGGAAGGCAGGGAACAGGGAGTGTTGCAGAATGTGGGGTGCTGCTGCTGGGCTGAGGGGTCAAACTGAAGATAAATAGCATGGCTTTTCTGGAAATATGGAGCCAGGTACCAGCTGCAATCACATCACCCATTGGAGCTGATGATGAACTGATCACATCATGAGCTTGGGACTTCTCACCCCTGTGAGCAGCCATCGTGATACAGGTGTTCACACAAGCCTTATTGCCCTGTTTCCTGCAGCCATCGTTGGAGAAACGTCCATTGGGTCGGTGATACCAGGAGAAGGCAAATGGGCACCTTGTGAGCCTGGTGTCCCCAATGCCCTGGCACAGCCCAGGAGTGTGAGCAGCCCCCACCTCAGCCCAGCCACAGAGACACCAACACACCTACACCTGCTGGAATGGGCAGCTCTTTTACTGAATAAATGTGTGCTCAGAAACGATGAGGGTGAAGGACATAAAGTGCCTCTTTCCTCTGAAACATAATACATCAATCACTATTTGTGTCTCTTCCGAATCTTATTTTCTGCTTAATTGTGGCTTAATACATACACAGCAGGTCTCTAATTTTCAACAGCAGCTTTCAGCCTGGCAGTCCATTAAGCCCCTGCCACGCTGGCAATCATTTTCAGGGCCTTTCTACTGACTGAGGAAGCGCAGACAGCTTGCAGAGTTTCCACAAGAGCTGGGATTTAAAAGCAGGGCACAGCCGAAACCAGTGCAGGTGAGCATCTCCTCAGCCTTGGCCACTATGATGTTTTTCCCCTGATGAAAGCAGAGAGCAGGTACGGGCAGAAGCACAGATCACAGCTTCTCTGTGGTCTTCTCAGCGGCACCTCTGCAAAGTGGGATTCCCTGACAAACCCAGCAGTGGTTTGGCAGCTGTTCTGAGCTAACTGATTAATAATGAGAAGTACTCCTAGAGGGACACGACCCCACAAACTCCCTCAGGGCAGAGGTAAGCGCTGTGTGATGGTCTGTACTGGAGAATCGCTGGGGGAAATTCTCCTGTTTGCTGTGGTTGCTTCCCAGGAGGGATCGCAAGGCTGGGGTGAGGTGGGGGTTGGTCTCTTCTCCCAACCAACAAGTGATGGGACAAGAAGAAAAGGCTTCAAGCTACATCAGGGGAGATTTAGATCGGATATTAGGAAAAAATTCTTCACTGAAGGTGTTGTCCAGCATTGGAACGGGCTTCCCAGGGAAGTGATGGAGCCACCATTCCTGTAAGTATATAGAAGATGTGTAGATGCAGTGGTCAGGGAAGTGGTTTAGTGGTGGACGTGGTAGTGCTAGGTTAATGTTTGAACTTGATCTTAGAGGTCTTTTCAAACCTAAGTGATTCTATGATTTTTTTTTTTTATGCTAGGGCTGTGCAGAGCCAGGGCTGCTCTGTAGGATGCCCAACATTGGGCTGCACTGGAAATTTTATTCCTGTGGGCATCTGAAAAAAAACAATGGATTTTTCTTTTTGCAAACTGCCTCTTATTTTCTCAGTGCAGAAAATTGCACAAAGCATTGCCCATGTTCACCACAAGATGGTACTGCAACACAAGCATTTTCCGTAGAAACGCCAGCAGCTCCTGGAACCCCTCATTTACCACATCTGGGTTTGGGGTATCCAGCGACACCGTTGTGCATTGTCTTTAATAAAAGAGCATTTGGCTTAGTTGGATTAATTCTTTGGCAGAAAGACATATTCAGAACTGTGTTAACCTTACTGGTTTTTTTTTTTAAGCTGAAGCAAACAAGCCTGGGCACTAGACTCAACACATAACAACGCACCATTTCCCATGCAAACAAGTGTCTGTTTTCCTTAGCAGGAGATCCTTTATTTTTACTGTGCTGCTTCCAGCCAGCCAAGATGCTTGGCCCAAACACGCAAGGTCTTACCGAAAACACATTTCACATTCCTCTGCAGTGGCAGCGAGGATATCTGGAAATGACTCCTTCCTCAGTGCCTCTGCACTCAGGAAAGCCTCATCTTTGCCCAGTGACTTTTGTTAAGCAGAGATAAGAGTGAAAACACAGCGTGAGGCACACATTTTCTAAGGCCTTTTGCAAAGAGGCACCGCTACCTTTTGGCAAAGATGAAAACATGTTGTCTTGATCTCAAGCCCAATTTCTTAGGAAATTACTGTTCTGGGGATAGAGGTCAGCTCGGTGCCACAGTGAATAATAACAACAATACTGAATTCTTTCACAGCTAGAATTGTCAACAGAGAGGTGAAGGAAACTGGAAGAACTCGGGAGAAGCCTTATGCTATGTGGAGATGTGCTGTGAGGCTGGAGAGAAGCCACTGAATGGCAGTGGCACACTGTCTGCTCTGTGGCTGAAGAAGAGGGCCTGTCACATCACTCAAGAAAATGAAATGCTATTTTATTTTATTCTGAGTCACCAGATCAACACTATTTCTACCGTCTGGACCAGAGAGCAACATCCTTATCTCCAGGATGCCCTCCTGACAGTTAATTTGCTCAATTTTTTATACTTGGCCATGCCACAACCCAAGAGTATAAGGTTGCAATATGCTAAATCAAGAGATCATTTTTTGGAGCTCCTGAAAAAGATGAGTATATAAAAGCAGCCTCATTGGAGGCTTCACTTTGAGAAGGACCACAGGCTCCTAACAGATCATCTACCCCTTCCCCATGTGTAACTGTGCTACAAACAGTCTGATGACACCCAGCACACCTCCTGCTCTCGTTGATCTCATCCACCCCTGGGCACATGTGGTCACCACCACCCACCCTCATACAAGGAACCTTCAGCTTCCTCCTTCCTCTGACTCAGAACTAGACCAGACCTCAATCTAGCAGGGTGCTGGGTATCTTTCAGCCTAAAGCAAAAATATTGACCACAAAGCATTTTTTGATTTAGGTTATACACAAAGGCAAAGGGCCGAGAGAAGGTCCCCCATCACTGGTGGACCCCATGGGTCTCCTAGCAGAAACTAGAAGTCAGCACCATACGTCAGTGACACACAAACTAGTGTGTGTGACCTGTTCGTGGAATTAATGCTCAGGCTAAACAACAATGACAGATGCATTCACTCATTAGCTTTTAGGGCTGGTAAGATAATGTCATTAGATTATGGTGGGAGCTGATGACTAAATGGAAATATTTGACCAGGTTAGCAAACTTTCTGTATAGAGTTATCCTGACCACACAACGTTGACTCAAATTCAGAGCACGGCTAGCAGAAACCTTCAGCGTAAAAAACTTGACTGAACATTTTACATTTGCAAACAGCGGTGAATTCATTCCAATTTTCTGATTCATGCTGCCATGATTTTTTTCTACTGGTAAAATAGACCATTCTCAGTTCTCTAGCCATTTTTGGTCTATAAGCGTTTCTGAACTAGAAGGAATCTGTTCTGGTTGTCTAGAACTACTTCCCTAAATTACTTATTTTAGGTTTCCCAAACACCAGATCGAATCCTTTTAAAACAGTGTATTACCATTTGGCAAAGCACCTAGAACTGAGCTTCTGTTACAGAAAAATCTCACGTCATCAATCATATTCACATGTGAAATGTTCAGGATTCATGAAGTTTCCAGCATTAATTCTCAATTTAGAAACATGGGACTTAAATAACATGTCCCCAAGGAGGAAGATGGTGAACAGCTACCGTTAGTATTTGTAAATATATTTGTGAATCTGCCAGCAAGCTGCTTTGGAGGAGTCAAAAGGACACATGAAGCCAACTAGAGATGATTCTTTGTGCGTTTGATACCTGCTAGCTAGATACCAGCTTCATCCAACCTTCTTAACATGTTCACAGGGAAGAAACAAATGAGTTTAGCCCTTGAAAGTAACTTATCAACAGGCAACATCTTCATTCACCTCCTAAAGTCCCAAGCTTAGGCAGACCACACTGGCTTTCCACCAGGAAACCTAACCAGTTGTGTTTGAAATTAAATACTGAATTGCTGTGCATTTATATAGAAATCTGGCTATTTTAGTCAAATAAAAAACTTTCAGATAGTCCAAAGTTTCTGCATAGCTTTCAAAACTATTTGTTTGTTTTCCTCAAGCCTGCATATCTAAACCTTTTTTAACAAGATGTAGACGTCTTTCCCAAAAACACAGAACGCGCAACGAATTCATTAGGTAACACATCGTTTCTATGAGGATGCAAGATACTGTGTATGCTGAATATTTATGAATTTAATAACAAGATTTCATACTGATTTTAAAACGTGTATTTCTTTGCAATGGAGAAGAGTAATTGTGTAGAATCTAACGGAAAACTCCATAAAAGATTCCCAGGGCCAACAACAGACTTTACATCAAGCCCATTAGTGGGAAAATGTGTGAGGGATATGAACAGATGATACGTGCTTGTATTTACATGAACAAAATATGGGAGACAATGGATTTGTTACGCTAAATACTGCTCAGATTTCAGTCACCCATTCTTACTTAGAATATAAAATTTTCTTTTACAAAAACTGTGGCTAGGAAAGCCCATTTATATAAATTAGACTTGGAAATCTTTGTAAATGCAATTATCCTTTATCTTTGCTTGAGAATTAAGGAAACATAAATACCTTAGTGTGAGCAAAGACAACTCATGAATATGCTGACAAAAAGAAACAAAGTTTTAGGTTGAATTCAATTGAAAATTTTAATGACTAAATGACATTGATAGTTTGAAAAAATGAATGAATAACATATATTGAAGATGAGATTATAAGCGTAATTGTAGGAAACCAACGCTAATGCTGTGCTGCAGCCTCTTAGAGAAGGTTAAACTTCAACAGCCCTGTGGAGAGTGTAAGACATCATCTTTGTACTAATGCTTTTCCACTCTACTCTTTTGCCAGGGTAAAAGAAGTTGCAATAAACTGATAAGCAAGATGCTTTACGTTCTCACAAGGAAAATGTGGTTTAACTGTTGTGAACTGCGCTGACTGAAGGTGAGAGTCTCAGCTCGTCAATCGGCTTCTCTTTGGAATGGGAAAATGTAAATATCCACGCACAAAAATAGAATTTAAAAAAATAAAAACTCCTTTAAGCACTGTATTTGTGGCACTAAATTTACATATTATGTCCTCTTCCATAAAAAAGCGTCATCAAAAAGAACTTGTGCCAGTTTTGTATTAAAAGGCCTATAGAAATCTCTTAAAATTGCCTTTGTTGTTGGTAGCATAGGTCCCAGACTTCTGTCTTCAGGTCGTCTAGTATTTGATGCAGGATTCTTTGTTAGCAGAGCTTCTTGTTTCTCACTTAGAGGGCCTGTGGAAAAACAAAATATTATCTTACAATATTTCACCCAAAATGCCCATGCTGAAGAAGACAAATGACTAAATCTGAAGTTTTGCCAGGGGAAGACAAATGGAATTTGTGTTAGCAACGATGATGTTTCAGAATATTGAATACAGCCTTAGATTAGTAAAATAAGTCACTGTTGGTAAATATGGAAATAATGTGTTTTCCTTTCACATTAATTAATCATCTCTACAACAAGCAGCATAAAGCATTTCTGGAGGAAAAAAAAATTGTTTTCACAAAACAACGATGACATTGAATACCACTCCCTGTCCACTTTGGAGCTGCAGTTATTTCATACTGTTATTTCATTTTATGGCACGAGTTGTCCAATACCTGGTAGAACCTCTATAAACTTTACCCATGTAAACCCTTCTCTGGTTTGTTTTGGAGGTTGTCAGTGCGTTCAAAGTGGTGCACAGGTACAGTCGTGCTCCTGTTCCAGGAGTAAATGTAAAAAACTTGACAACGTGTTTCAGCCACATAAATACCCACAGACTTTTCCAGCACAAACCATATTCAGGAAGAAGATGCCAAGCTCTTCATCTGTTCAATCTGCTGCATTCAAACTTTCTCATCATCTAGACCAGTGTTTGGACCAGCCAGACTATTTTGCAGCCACATTTTCATCCTCTTGCTACTGTCAAATCAACGTTGGGCAACATTTTGTCTGCCAGCGTCTCTCCAAGGATTAGCAACAGATGTCTCAATCAACACAGCAAAAACACCATTTCCCTCTTCTCCCCTGCTAGAAATGCAACCTTTCATCATTCTCGGATTTGGCACACCACAGTAGCGCTTCAGTTTGTTTAAACTGCGTGGGATAGTTCTTGCTCCTATGCAAGCCCCTGACAAACAAGCCCTGACTGCCTTCAGAAGCAGGACTGACTTCTTTATGGGAAAATAGATTCCAAATGGATTTGATTATTTTTTTCTTATTGGTATAGTCTTATTAAGATCTTCTAGCACCAACCTGTCTATGGGAATTGGGGAATTTTAATTTTGCTTGACTCCAGGCAACAAGATTAATGCATCTTTCAAGACAGATTCCCATGATACTGTTTTGTCTCTTAATAAATCAAAAATGACCTAGAAGAAGGTTAATAATGATTTTCTTGCACTTATCTCAAAACAGCCAGAAGACACCTACCCAGCTCCAGAAACTGGAACACCATATGCATGGTGTATTTTACGTTTGATGCATGATCCTCCAGGCGAAGAACGAGTATCTGGTCTTTGTCAAAAACTGTCAGCCAGTCCAAAAGATACACAACATAGAGCCCAACCTGTAACCTCACCTGTAAGCACAAAAGAAAAAATTCCCAAAACAAATAAAAAATAATCCATCTTATGACACTTCTAGCAGTAAGAAACCAACAGTCACCTCCTTCTGGGTAAAATCCCCAGATATGTGCTTTTGAGGAACCATAAAAAGACAGTATCTGAATTTTATTTTTTTTTAATCTTCCACCTCACCTCCACATTCCTCCATGCTTGGGATAACCCAGCCTTCATGGAGACACTGAGGGCTTGCAGCCCTTGGATGAACAGCAGTAGAAAGGAAGATGGCAAGTCCAGCTACTTTCTCCAGGAACTAAGGCTGCTTATTTCAACTTGAGTATCAACTGCACCAGATCACGGTGCCATAAGTAGTATAAATATTCTGATTCCATGTCAGGAATTAGATTTGGGTGTGTTTACTTGTATCCTCTGATTGCAATAATCAGATCTACATCAGTGGTTGCTGGACGCTGTTAATGGTGCATTGTCTGAGTACGCCATGAGACACCAGACTATGTTAGACCAGAGTCATGAAAAGGCATGTTTTTTAGTCTGTCCTGACCTAATCTCTGTTTTTCTTCCCTCCTCAATTTTACATAACAAGCTGAAACATAAAAAGGATAGTCTGGTGTTCTCAAAAGTCCAAGCTCCAACTGTGCTTATAAATATTTTTCTAAATCCCTTCAGGCTCAGAAGAGAGAAACAGGAATCTCAAGTCATAAGCAACTTTCATAAAAGAGATTTAACATCTCCAAGTCACACTGTTGCAGAACCAATGAAGCCAGATAACAATAGTTTCTTTTAATTCTTGCACCGATACCCTAATTCCAGTAAGCCATATTTTGAATTATTGCTCAGTCATTACTATCATAATCATAGAGTCATCTAGATTGGAAAAGACCTTTAAGATCATCACATCCAACCGGTAATCTAGCACTACCAGATCCACCACTAACCCACAACCCTGAGCACCACATCCACACGTCTTTTAAATACCTCCAGGGATGGTGACTCCACCACTGCCCTGGGGAGCCTGCTCCAGAGCTTGACAGTCCTCTCTTCACTGCCTCTAAGTGAGGATAAGATGACAAACACTTCTTGCTTTATAGGTTAGCATCTATCAGTCTTAACAATGTCTATGACACCTCTTTTGTTTCAGGAATATATTAGCAAATAGCAAAACTAAATTCTTCTGGCGTAGTCACAGCATTAGCAATCTAATGAGCTCACCAGAGAAAATAATCCCTATTTTTTCAATATAGAGACGACCACGCACATAACAGAATTTAACAACTTGGCTGAAGAAACAGCAGCTAAAAAAGCCTGTTGAGGAGCACAGTTAGCATTTGTGTTTTATTACGAACACCTGCTTGTGGCTCCCTGGAATGAGGCATTCTCTGCTCATTTCCAAAAGTATCTTCTTCAGAGGGCTGCCTAAGACAACAAATGAAGATTGGTTCTGCACCCTGAGGATGAAGACAAGAGGAGAAAAAAAAAATTTAAAAAATTCCTTCTGATTCTCTCTCTGCCCTTCTCTTCCCACACTGAAAGAAACGCATTTGTACAAGCAGATGGCTGGAAAGTGCCGTGATACTGCCCAGCAGCAGCTCCTGTCTGTGGAGGTCCTGGAGGCCATCATCAAAGACAAGCAGCTCCAGCCTCCCTGCCAAGGTAAGTAAGAGGAATGTCCTGCTTGCTCTGCTGCTGCAGGGCTCAAGTCTGTGCAATACACTGTTTTATGGTTATTTTATTGAGTGGAGCAGGCAATAACTTCACCTCGGAGACAAAGGAGGCAAGCACTCCCTCCAAGTCCTTTACAGCCTGGGCAAATAAAAGAGGATGGAATGGCAAACCGGCCAGATGTGATACTTCAAGTCGATCTTTTCCGTATTTCTCTTCCCTCCTCAGGCAAAATTTGAAGTCAGTTATATACCCAAAATGTGTATTTTTTAATACTCATCCATTCCCTGGCCAGCAGTTTCTGTATTTCCTTTTATCATTTTCTGATGTGCAGAATTTTTTTTTTTAAAAAGTTCTATCCAGCTACTACTGGTAGCCTTTTCTTGAGAAAGAATACATAATTTATTCTGATTTTGAGGCAATTTCATACCACAAAGATCCTTGCCAGAGCTACTTTTTGGAAAGATCTGCAAAGAGCTTACACATTAAACTGTAATCTTCACTAAATGTGCCCTCCATACGCTTGCACAATAGAGAGACTGTATTATTACCGTTGGCATTCATCAGGGAGCAGACTGAGGAGGCAGCTGAGCCACTACATCAGCTTTTACATGCTTACATGCATACTGATGTCATCCTCTTTACAAATGAAAAGGGAGGAAGTTTTATTTCTTGGTGCTTATTTGCACAGTATTTTGCTATTTTAATAACCTTGACCCAAAGTACCATCAAAGGAATCACGTGTTCTTGGAAATACGTACGGGCATGGCATTGTTCAGGGTGTTGTTGTAGACACAGGCTCTCAGCGAGTAATCCAACACGCAATTTTCAAACAGCTGCAGCGACTCTGCCACTTTTTCGTGAAAGTCTTCCGCGGATTTATTAGCACTCACGAAGTACAGATAATCTGAGTACAACCTGCGAATGAGAAGCACGAAAGTAAATGGCAGAGGAAATGAAAGGAGATTTATTTACATGACAATGGCCAATTGGTTCCATCAACTGAGGGGCAGGGTGCGTGTGTGTAACATGGTCCCACTCACAACCTCGTCAGCCAGTGACACATTTTCTCTTCATCTTGGTGGGTTTCAGCTCAGAGGAACATCCACTCCGGCGAGCTGCTAAACACCAACCCCACCTTCAAGGTCAGCATCCTTTGAAAATCTGGCCCTAGTAATTGTGCGAGGCAGAATTTTCTCCTGAAGGCATTTTTTTTTTTCAAATAGATATACTTAAAAATTTTTGTTATCTAGGTGATCCTGCTCTGGTAGGGGGATTGGACTAGATGATCTTTCGAGGTCCCTTCCAACTCCCAACATTCTGTGTCTCTGTAGAACTGGCCTCAGCTGACATTGGTCCTCTTCTATATTTGGTGCTCCACACTGCCATGGACAGAAATGACTCTCATCTCAAAAGCTCTATTTTGATTTCAAAACAAACAGAGGAGCAGGATGGATTAGAAAGTGTGGGTTTTTTATACCTTTACTAAGCTGGCTACCAGCACTAATAGGAAAGAGTCCAGATTTCATACGTTTTTGCAGAAAGTTCCACCTCCAATCCTATATTGACTTTTCATTAAAAACGTCCAATTTACAGCATTCAGCACTCCACCTCTTGGGGTTTTCTTAAGCTGAAATACCTCAGTACTAGGTGGATGGTTCAGATGTGTGCTGCGTTCCCCAAGAAGTCCCATTTCTGCTCTGAGGGCAGGAGGACATGGACCCATGCATGTTTGCAGCTTGGAGGCAAACAAAGTCCCGGCATCAGCTGCTGCTTGGAGCAAAAGCCACCAGTAAACCAGAATTTCTCTAGGCTACAGTAGAGGAGCAGCCCTTCCTTGCACATTTGTTGCATGAGTTTTACAATTGCTTAGTGTTACTTAAAGATTATGTAAATTCAAATCCCTTTGTGGAGGTGGTGGTGGTGAAACAACCCCAAACCTGCAGGCAAGTACAACATCTGCTTTAGTGTTAATCCCTGAAAACTTGATGAAACTTCTCCAAGATAAATATAGTTCAAAGAGATGAAGGAAATACCGTGTCATAGCATAAGCATTAGGTCTGCTGAACATGGTATTTTAAACTTGCTTTTGTATTTAAGCTTAGAAACTAGGACCAAAACCTCAACAATACCATAGGAGTTTGGAGACAATTGTGTCACACTTGGGAAGGAGCACCCATCTCTCGACAAAATCCCCCAAATCCTAGATATCATTCAGCCTCTTTCAAAAAAACACAGGTGTCTAACAAATGGCCTAAAGAAAAATATATCTATTTATTTAGGTCTCATTTTATTGCTGCAGTAACCTTTTGTATTGCACTTTATTTATTTTTTAACTTCCTTAGAGTTCCACAGGTACTTAAAAATCCATCATTTAATTTAGAAAGTTTAGGCCCTAATCCAGCAAAGCACTTAAACCGAGGAATAGCCCCTCTGCCCTCATTATTTATGTTTGTGTTTTGCAAGAACAGGATTTTAATTCCCATATGAAACAAATGAAGACTCTCTGTTCATTTAAAAAGGAAGAAAAAGGATACATTTGCTGCAGGATGCTTTTAGCTCAGTCTTTACACACTTTTTAAAAGAAAAATCATAGCAAACTATAGAAGATGAGTCAGAGGCACCCTGTACTATCTACAGGAGTCACCACCTAAGCAAGGCAAGACTGATTTTTGTCCAGTCTGGCAAATACGTTTCGCAAAGTTTTCTTTAAATGCAAAAACTCCATTTCGAGCAGAGGGAGGGTACCAGGCTGGGATGACACTAGCTGGGCAGTCTACTTCAAAGTGATGCTCACTGGTGCTTGAGGCCACGCATGGCCTCTCCCTCTGCAATGGCACAGCTTTGTCCCTCATGCTGCACCCCCCAAAGAGCCATCCCACCAGCACGGGGATCAAGGAGGAGCTGGAGAGAAGCTAAGGGACAAAGCCAGCCCACTTCAACTAAATTAAGCAAACGACGGTATCTCCTGCTTGCAGAAAAGTGTCAAGACTCAGGCTTGCCCAGCCTGCCCTGGCTGGGACGGCAGGACCAACTGCTCCTGGCTGAGCAGGTGAAAAGCTTCTGGATGAGGGAAATCAGCCATTAGGCATCACGTACAGCATGGGCCCAGCTACAATTTTATTTAAAACGTTTAGTATGACTGCTCAGTATTCCTCATCATCCGCTAAAATTAATGCATCATTCTGAAGACCTGATGACACCTTAGGGCAAACTGCGTTCTTGAATACAGGTTCTCTCTCCACAGGGAGCCAAGATCTGTATTTCTTTCCATCTGTTTTTAATCCTGGGGACATCTGCCTGGAAATAAAACCTTTCCTGACCAGGATTTCAGCTGTTCCAGCTACCTGAAGTCATTATCCTCAATCACCGTCCGCTACAATGAAATAATGACACCACTGACATCCACCATCACAAACCTTGACGTCCTCCAAATAAGTCCTGATGGGAGATAGACCAGACCTCATGCAGGTTAGACTAGACCCTGTCCCAGACCCTGTGCAGCACCCACGTCCTCTTGGCTACTGCCAGGCAACTTCTCCGTGCCCTGCCCGGGCTGCCCCTTTGGCCACAGCTGCTTTTGCTGCTGCAGTTCTGATGAGCTATCAGCAACAAGGGCACCGGGAATCATAAGCAGAAAGAAACCAATTTATCATCAATACAGTAAGGGAGATGAAGCTGACTTTTTATCTCACCCTTATTAAAGCTAGCAAAGAGCTACACCCATATTACAGAGGGTGGTTAAAGCAATCAGGGAATTTGCAGGTAATTTGCATGAGGAAGCCACTTCAGCCAGCGCTCTCTCAGAAAATTACCATCTGTTAAATCCTGAGGGCAGGAGATGCCATTAAAAGTGAAGAGCTGTATTTCCTGATGTAGGAGATGGGAAACGCTCTCACAGTCCCCATGTTCTACCATGAAGGAAGCTTGTCCAGCAGCACCCATCCTCTCCTACTACTGCCAAGTTGCTCTGGGCAGCTGCCGGGCAGCAAAAGTACCTCACACCTGCCCTCCTCCTGGTGTCCAAACCTGCATCACAGCCTGGTCCCCATCATCATCCCCTGGGTGCTCCTGGAGCTTTGTCCTTGAGCACTGACCAAGCCCCGAGTATCTTGAATATATTCACAGAACTAGAGAGAAGGAATTCAGACACCTTCTGGAGTCTGCCTCCACCGTTTCCACCTTCTCTGTTACCCTCACCATTATCATATTTCTTCAGAGGATACAGTGGAAGGAAATACCCTAGAAATCTGGATGAAAACCAGATTAAAAAAAAAATGCAAGTGGAAAGAAGGACACTCATCGCTAACACAGCAGAGCTCTTCCCATGCAGACAGTCATGGAAGACCGACGACAAACTCCCAAGTAGCTGTTGGCTGTGCAAGGTAAAGTTGTCTAGGGAAGCTCTAGATGACTGTTGCATCAAGCATTTTTAAGATTTTAAAAAAAAAAAAAAAACAACAAACCAAAACGTGTTATAATTTGCTCACTCTGGAGCTATTTGCAATCTTTCAATCATTTTGAACAACCTGCCCCCTGAAGACAGAAACATTTCGATTTAACATGAATTGAAGCACGTCACAGGACCAGTTATGCTCTGACCTGTACATGCCGTGTCATGCTCAGTCTAGTGAGCCCTGCTGAGAAAGAATCAGGATGTATTAGCTCAGATAATGGAGTTATATCACATTTGGCAACATACAAATTCTTTTTTTCAGACCAGCTCAGGTGTCCATGCATGACACTTGCTGTGCCATTTACACTCACAGGCATCTCTTTAAAATGTTATCACAATTACATATGCCGAAATTCACAGAATAAAACCCCACGGCAGCTCTCATCATAAACCAAGTAGTTGTCAAATACTATGCGAACATTTATTTGCACCTAAGAGAGCAAATAAAACTATTATAGCAAGAAATTTTGTGTGTGTACTTTAGCAACGTGATCCTTGCTCACCTTTCAACAGGGTCTCTCAGCATGATGATGAGTTTGGCATTCGGTTGGAAGGCATGGATAAAATCCTGGATTAAGAAGGGAGGTTCTCCATCGGTGCTGTTGTCATAAAGGAAAATCCAAGCGTTGTTGTCCCACATCGTCGAGGCGCTGGCTTCCCCTGGAAATTGAAAGCAGCTCTGCTGATAACTCATTTCATTCTTTGTACTGGAGTGGAAATTGCCTGAGTTTTGAACCAGACTGATTAAAATTTACTCTATTAGCTTCGATATCCCTTGGTTCTTGCACATTGATCTGGCTAATGCTCCCCATTGCCAGAGCACTCATGCTGCCTTGTGCCTTTGTGAATGCAGCGATGGCCAAGGTAGGTTTTATGTAATTCCCCCCGAAATATTGCTGCCCACTAACCACGCTGCTTCCTGTTAGTGGTCAACACGTGCAAATATATTTGAGCTGGGCTGGGACAGACTGCTCAGGGCTTTGGCCAACCCACCCACCAGCAGGGTGCTGAAGACCTGCCATGCTCTCTGTAGCACCCCAAGGGTTGGCGTTAACACTCTTAGCTCAGAGAAGCAACCTGCTACTGAATTCTACAGTCTGACACAAACTAAAGAAAAATAAAATAATAATAAAAATCATCACTGAATCATAGGATGGTTTAGGTTGGAAAAAACCTTTAAGATCATCAAGTTTAACCATTAACACTAACCAGCTGAATGGTATCACTGTGGTTTGAAACATCCCTATCTGAGAATGACCCATTATCATCAGAGCCTTTTTATATAACTACAATTATTCATGTAGATTAAGTCAAATATAACTATTTCATATTAGGCAAAAGGTCTATAGAATAAATAACACATTTGGTTAGATGCCAGATTCTGATGTTCTTAGTTTCTGAAGAAGCTTACTCTGAATTAATGCCACAGGGAGAGACACGATCAGTAACGTCTCTGCCAGAGCAAGGTTTAGGATGCTTTTACTGTTAAATAAATGATCTGATACGATGTTTCGAGTTGTGTAATCTTCCGTGTCTTTTTAAGTAATACTGGCATTTATGAGGCAACACTACTGCTTAATAAAACATATACAGAAGCTTTATGGAAACTTCTGCTCTTTGACAGTCTAATGAGAGCTAATTCTTGTTGATGAGGTTTTTCAAATCAAAAGGAATGCGATGAAAAAATAATCATGTTGTAAGCTTACAGACTTGCACATGATTTCCCTTTTTCTTTTATTTTCTTTTTTTTTCCTCTCCTGGGAAAGTCCAATAAAGATTTTAAAAGATGGCCAGAACACAACATGAAAAGGGCACTGGCTCCAAACTTCAGCTTAACATAATGTGATTCATTAATAAAGTCTGGAAGTTGTTAGAAAACACATTAATCTTCTGTCATGTTCATTTGCCTCTTTTCAGGAGGAGGAGATCAGGTCCATTGGCTAAAGCCGGGTGTCCCCAACAGCTCTGCTTCTGCATTTTAAAATAATTAGCCAAAGCACTGCCTAATCATCGGTGGGATTTGACTTGTCAACTAAAACTCAATTAGCCCAGCTCCCATGCTGGGTGAAGCAGAAACACAAAAGACTAAATAGAGGACGAAAGCTGAGCTAACTGTAGCACAACACCACCATGCAGATATTTCTGTGCTATCAGAAGATGGAATAATGCAAATGGGTACGAGCACGTGCATACATGGATTTACAGAACAGTGCCCTCCAGCGAGGAGAGCGACCTTGGAAAGTCACCACTCCATCTCCATGACAGGAACGACTGAGCTTAAACTGCTCCCTCAGAAACGTTCACCTAAATAATGACAAAGATTAAAGTCTATGGCTTCGTCGAGCCTTCTATTCCTCCCTAGAATAGAACTTTCAAACGTTTTCCTTCAACATCTCTACTGTGTAGACTTCTGATCATATCTGATTCTCTGTTGGAATTATTCCGATTAGCTCATATATAGTGACCAAACCTAAGAACATCTGCTACCTGAGCTAAGTAAAATCAATGCACCTACACGTAAATGGGCAGATTCTCTCAACATCACAGACCAGACCACATCACAGAAGTTGTTTCAGCTGGATCAGCTGCCACCACACCAGAGTTGTAGAGGCTACCCATGAGCAAGGGAAGGTCACAGGCACCCGACTGAACCCTGCCAAAGCCTTAACAGGACTCAAGGTGTTGCTGTAACACAGGCAGGACAGGACAGCCTGGGTTCAAGAAGGCAAATCTTCTCAAAACAAGACAACTGTCAAAAATTAAGGGGGGAGATTAGGAAAAAAAATAAATAAAATCACTCTGGTCTCTGCTGATGCTTATCATTTTGATTTCCTGAAGCAGCCAAAAATACTCCTGACAATTTGACAGTGTTCCTCTCCATTTTATAATACAGATTTAATATCTGCAAAGAGAATGAGCCATACTAAATTAATCACCGCTATACTAATTACATCAAATTACTGCAGTGCAACCAAATAAATAAAATCACTCTGGTCTCTGCTGATGCTTATCATTTTGATTTCCTGAAGCAGCCAAAAATACTCCTGACAATTTGACAGTGTTCCTCTCCATTTTATAATACAGATTTAATATCTGCAAAGAGAATGAGCCATACTAGAGATAAATTAATCACTGCTACACTAATTACATCAAATTACTGCAGCGCAACCAAAAATATATTACGTTTTCTTATGGACTTAAAAAACATATGAGTTAAATTGCCTGAAGAATGGATGTATAACATCTTTATTCAGTCATTAATGGATTAACATCATACTGTGTTTGCACAAGGCACTCCTCTGAATTTATCATATTAATGATCACAAATAAACAATTCCTGCTTAGAATGCCTCAGGCTAGATCAGTGTTGTCCTCTTTGGTTCATGTCTGAGCAGATGTTGGGTTTTGGGGGGAAAATGCAATTATTACCCACTAAGTATAATATTCAAAGAAGCTTAACTTTTCAAAACAATGTACACATGATGAACTACCAAGATGTTCACAGTTTTAATTCAATTTTTCTTTCTAGTCATCTGAAATAAGAAAATGGAGGATTCTAAGCAAACTTGATATTCATACAGATTCATTTTCGACTAGCTAGCTTTGTTTTGTTTTTTACCAAGGTCATAAAAGACTGACTTAATGAGCATAATCATCCAGGACTTTTCCTGTAAACTTAATAAGTGAACAGAACCTTAATGAAACAAGAAATGAGACTACAGGAAAAAGAAACACAAAGCAAACTGCAGAAAAAGCTGTAACAGGAGGTAAGTAATCAAAGATGTACGTTGCCAATTAGATTAGTGAATTTAATTAGTATAAGCACTTCACCCATGAAAGGACAGGAGATACTATTGTAAGGAAGAAAATCTGCAGATGTCCTTGATGGCAACATTGCTCAAGACCCCATCTTGCAAATTTTGCTCAGTGTTGAATATTTAATGAAGTGAATGATAGACTTTAATGGAGGTTGACGAAGTATCGAACGAATGTGACTAGAGCCAAGTCTTTGGTTTAAACAACGTAAGGCGTCGTTACCATTTCATCCAGCCAACAATAGGCTGCATTTTTTTTGGTTAGCATGAGACCAAAAAAAAAAAAATTATTCTCAGGGTGTTCCCTCTGAGGGCAGGCAGCAAAAATCTCATTTCTATTTTCTGTAGAATAATGACTTCAGGGCTATTTGAAAAGTCTCTTTCAACAGGAACTGTCTTTTGCACAACTAGTATTTTCACAGAATGCATCTAACTTCCCTGGGAAATGCTGAGGTGACAGAATAAGATTAGCAAAACTGTTTTCCCCTCAGTTTTCTGGCTTTAGCAGACAACACAAGCAGAATTTAAAAATTTCTGCGGGTACTCCTCATGGCCCCTGTAAACCGACGGCACCATGGACCACAGTGGGTGAGCATGGCGTGTTGACTGCTGTGCATCACAAAAAACAATCCAGAGACCCCTCCCTAGACCCTAGTCCCTACCATGGGCTCACTCAAGGTACAAAACAACAGCATTTCTAAATCATGTTTAATGCTAATCAGGTAATTTAATATCAACTGAAACTGTAAATTATCTTCAAATTGTATTCTGCGCTGCGCCTCTACGTTCCAAGACTGAAAAACACAACACAAAACAGCTTGAACTTGACTCTCTATATTCCTGCTCTTGAAACTTGCGTTATCTTTGCTGATAACGAAGCAGCTCAGGGGTTTAATCATATTTAACAGTTAATCATATTAATTGGTCCAGGGGGGCCGGTTAGCTCAGTGGCTTGAGCGCGGTGCTGACAACAATGACAACACTGAGGTCGTGGGTTCGATTCCCGCTCGGTCCCCATGTGTTGCCTGGACTAGTTGAGAGGTGGCGTCCCTGCCCATGACAGGGAGGTTGGACTAGATGATCTCTAAGGTCCCTTCCAGCCTAGGCCATTCTATGATTCTATGATACTTATTTCAGCCCGCCATAGGCTACGTGGGGATGACAACATAGATAATGGCAGTCCTTCTTCTTACGTGCATCTTACATTGAAGCCTGAGAAGAGCTGTCTTGCTGTCATGGAAGCTGTCTCTGGTCAGCAATAGAATTTCTACAGCACCCATTGTGTGTCGTAACACCACGACCAGGGCGTTACCCCAGACCTATCGCTACAGCATTTGAACCTGAAGCGACAGCCCCGTCGCTACAGGCAAACCCAAACAAAAACAATGTTTGAAGGAGTCACCAAGGTCATTCTCACTCTTTATTATACATATATATATATATTTAAGAAGGTTTAACTAAATGCTGATTCATTACTTGCTCAGGCTTTTCTAAAGATAATCCCAATTTTTTAACAAAGGATGTAACCACCCTCCAGGGAAAGGCAAAAATTTCTGCTCTAGCCACGCACGCCAGCGAAAACCAACATCAGGAGCTCTGTGCTGTGAACCTTTCGCGCCTGGGAAAATGCCCCTCTCGTGACCCAGCTATGAGTGTTGCCAACCTGGAGCTACAGAGACGTATTTCAGAGGTTGTTTTGGCCCTACCGATGATGATGCTGTTCATCTTCCCACGCTCTTTAACCGCTTCGCTCTGCAGCACCCCCTGAATCTGATGCGCTGCTAAGTCAAACAGATCAAGGTAATCTTCCACCGGGTAGCGATCATGAAACCCATCCCTCAGACGAATGATTCCTAAAAAAAAAAAACCAAAAAAAAAACCCCAACAATGAAGGAGATAACTTTAATTAAAAAGAAAGAAAGAAAGAAAGAAAGTAGTAGCAGGGCAAGATTAATCACTGGTGTAAATCAAGACAGCTTCACTGACAATTCTGGCACCAAGCCAGCTAACGTCAGCACAAAATTCAACTGATGAAGTGTAAGACTCAGATAAAAGTGCCAATAATGAAGTAGCTGAGATTCGAGATACTGTGCGATTAAGCCATAAATTCACAGTGATATGAAATATCTTTAGTGCTCTCTTTTATAGTTCCTGCAGGAATAGCTTGCTTTTATTTTCTTCCAAATTTAGCTTTTGGAATGAATATAAAAGACCAGATTCTGCTTTCATTTGCACCAATATAAATGGAAGTAATACTGGACTCCCACTAGATTTACTGCACTGAGATCGAGAACAGGCTCTGATGCCAAATATGCAAATCAACATGCACTTATCAAAACGAGAAAACTGGCAAATCATTCATGGTTTTGTTTTCCACAAGTAGGAAAATAAAGCTCCATGACAGTGCCTTATTTTTCTCCTTTCCCCCCGCTACACTCCAGGGTGTGCTCAGTATCACCTTCTCTCTGCATTTCTTAGCATCTTGAGCCACATCTGTGATTTTTATATTCCTTTTCCCTCCTCCCACTTCTTTCCATATCTAGTCTCACTTCTCCACTTTCTGCACATGCTCTCCAGGCCCATCTCAGTATTCTTGCTTCTTACCACACCGCAAGAGAGTTTCTCACGTAGGCAGTGGTCAAATGAGCAAAGCTAAGAGTACAGAGCAGGACTTCTCAGCTCTCCCTTTCTTGTTCCTACAAAGCCAATAATTATCAATTATGTGAGAGGAAAGCTCAGCAAGAGAGCTCTTTTGTCCGCTCCCTCTGATTTTCCCCTTCAGGAAAGTGGGATTTAATGAGGGTGGAAGAAAGCTCAGCAGCATATTTTGACTTGTTTTGAGGGGGGAAAAAAAATATACAGGCACAGTGGTGCAGACAGCCTTGGTTCGTTGCTATCTCACTCATGGGAATAGAAATTGTGGCTAAGAGCCAGGAGAGACAGACAGTCAAGCTGGGACAAAGTCCTGTAGAGCATCAACCACCCCAGCAGAACGGGAAAGCGGTGATTTGCAAAATGGGGCGTTCCCAGGAGGACTGAAATTAGTCAGTCTCATAAAAATTCACTGAATCAGAGGATACCACAGAACAAAAGAGACTTTCTTGGCCAGATAAGTATTACAAACTAAACCAAGTGAACAGCCAGGGGCATAGGAGTCATATCCACTAGCTGGCTTATAAAAGGGGGATGTCTCAGTTTCATTTGTTGGCCTGTCATATTCTTTTATTTACATTTTTTCTTTTTTATTTAAATAATAAACATTAGCTAATGTACTGCTGAGGCAGAACAAAAGGGCTGAGCCACCAGCAGCAAACTTCATCTTTCATTCTTAATGGCAGACAGCCCGAGGTCATCTCTACAGATCTCCCTCCCGTGAGACCACAAGCTCTGCAATCTTTTCTTATTCTTGAGCTTTACAACATAACTTCAAAATACTGCATTACACAAAGAATGTTCTCTTCAAGGATCTGCACTTGGCCCCCAGTGGCTGACCACAAGACTGTGCAAGTGGAGAGTTTGCAAATGCCAGCGCAGAGATAGGAATTCATCCTTGTTCTCAAATTATCTGCACTCCAGCCTGATTCCTTACATTCTTCTGCCTGTTTGGTAGGTCCAGTTCCGAGCTTTAGTGAGTCCAGTCTCGCTTTAGTGAAGCTGGATGCATGACTTCCTCCAACCTTAATTCTAAATATTTATGTTGAAGCCGATGTAGGAGTAGGGGATTATTTAGTATAAAGGATTTTAGCTTAACATATCAGTTTGGTTCAGCCTCTCCTGACAGCATTCTCATGGAAGACACGACTTTCTACACATGGTTTTGCTGACACCTCCTGCATCTACACACCCAGAGACAAGCAGCATGGCTTTCACACTGGAAAGCATCCAAGTCTAAAATCTCCATTCTTCATTGATCTGACTTTTGACCTTCAGGTTGGGAAGTAATTCTTATAATTTGTTTTCAGTCAGCTACTGACCGTGATGAACGAGTGCCTTCTCACTGGGCTTCAGAGGGCACCACGATGCTTCTCCTATTTGACTTTGATGCCCCAGTTCACATCGGTACCTCCAGTGTCTCCTAAATTTGACCAAACTGTCTCAAAAGCAAAATCGTATTTTCATCATATTTCTTTAGCTCTTAAGTTTATAGCAAGCATTTAGAAAATGGCTAAAATACTTACTTTAGCCATTTTCTTATGGCATTTGTGAAGGAAGAAAATACAAACTCTAAGAACACATCAAAATCATGACATCCCAGCTCCATGGCTGAGCCCTCCTCATCACCGAGCAGTGAGGAACAAAGCTCTGTCTGCAGGAGCTCAGAGGTTCTCCCGGGCTTCAGGGCACAGGGAAGGGGGATGGAAATGGCAACACTGCATGCTGGAGAAATAAAGAATTGAAGGTATGACCCTGAAATAAAGCACAGGAGCAGCACTGCACGTGTCCTGATCCCTCAGAAAGTGTCCTTCCTTGCCTTTAGCCATGGCAGTTCAGTAGAAAAGATCGTTTCCCATTTCAAGGAAGTTTAGAAATGCACCAAAGTAGCGATGCAAAGTCCTCATCAAACGATCTACCCCACAGCGCTAGGTTTTCCCTTGTTCCCAAGGCAGTGTCTGCAGTAAAGCACCAGCAAATGAGAAACAGAAGCGAAGATGTCACCATAAAATAAGCAGTATCTTCCTCTTGAAATTAGTAATATCACTGTAAAGCCTGTGATCTATGATCTATGTCATCTACCAAAGTTTAACCCAAAACATCGCTAAAGAGCAGGCTGGACCCTACTGAGCATCCGTCACCTAGATTTTTCATAACTATTAAACTCCGGTGGTTTCAAGGTCAGCCAACATAAAGGAAATCCATCAGAAATGTCCAAGTTTAATAGAGACCACTCGTCTGGATACCGGAGGACATGTCTACTCACCAAACCGCTTTCTTGTCCACCAGTGTGGCTCTTTGATTGCTGAGAAGCGAACATCGGGGTGCAGCCTCAGCCGGTCATACAGGTCCGTGGTCCCACACTTGGGCTGGCCAATGATGTAGAAATGGGGGAGGCAGCGCAGGCGGTAGTGTTTGTCCTTATAATGGTACAAGTGGTTCCAAAATACCTTCCTGAGGTAATCAAAGATGGTTCGAAAGCGCTTTGAATACAGTGCATAGGAGTTCGTTGCATAAGGATCTGTGGTTGTGTTTCCTCTGTACTCTTCATACCAACAAGGATTCTTGCTATTTGGAAGGAATTTGTTAGGAATTACTGAAAACATCTGCAACATAAAGAACAACAATTTCAGTCAAGGCAGCAAAAAAATGACAGTTATACTTTTGTATCTTAGCACAGTAAGAGAACACAACAGAAACACTATGAGGACATTTTTAATCCTTATGTTTTTAACTACAAAGCTGACCTAACTTATTTCTTCTGATGATATCAGAAGCAAATCCTGTACAAACAAGCACGGGAAGTATTGGAAAACCTTTGATTTTGAGGCCAGAAAGGACTTCAATAATCCCCCCAACACCCTTGGAAATCCAGGAATTATATTTTGAAGTCAAACACATAATACCTAAATCAAATTAACTTCCAGTTTTTAACTCTGAAGTACAAGGTTTGCAATGACCAGATTTTCAGGAAGGCACACTGGTAATCAGTTATTAGAAAGGCTCTTTTCTTATTTATCATTCAAGGCGACTGGCAAATCCAAGTCAGAATGATTTTGCATGAGACAAGGTAAAAATTCAATGAGATTGTACAGCTATCGAAACACTGTGTGATTTTTTTTGTTTCAGGTGTCAAGCCCATCAATATAACCCATTTATTTTGCCCATGACTCCGAAGGAGTGCTTTTCAGGAGGCTCTAGCTGGCGTAAACCACTGTATGAACACCTGGTCACTTGCACTTTTTTCTCTCAGTAAAAGATTGACCCCAAAGACTCAAAATAAATGAGCGTACAGCAGTTTAAGACACATCTTCAGTCTATACTTACATGTGGCTCTTGTTTCCTCAGCTCTTCTAAATCAGGGCGCTGTCTCGTCACAAACTCTATCTTTGAAGTAATAGTGTCAATAATTAATTTAATGCTTGGATAGTCCTTTATGTATGAAATATTCATTTTAGAAGGCTGGTAATGGTCTTTCATGTCACTAAGGCTTTCATTGTCCATTAAGCTTGGATTGCTAGTAAAAGCTCCGTAATGGAAGGGAGATGGTATTAACAACAGGCCGTGTTTGGCTCCAGTCAGTACGTAGGATGCCATCACTAGAGTCATTATAATCAACCCAAATATTAGGCTGCATAGCTTCCCCTTCCTCAAGCAGAAAAAGCCATTCCAGCTTTCCCTGTGATCAGTCCGTACTTCCCAAACTGCGAGCAACTTCATCTGCTTGCTGTCGGTGTACAAAGGGATCTTGTTTTCTCCTTTGCAAACAGGACACTTCTGGTTGTTATGATTAGGTCCACGGCATCTGAAACACAGTCTGTGCAAGTCATTTGGTAGTAGATGTATGCAACAATTAATGCAATATCTCATATTACTACTGTTAAACTCCTGTATTAATGAGCCAGGCACAGCCATAAAAATGTTTCTGAAGCATATGAGTCATCTTCTGTAAGTCTGGAATTAGTTAGCTCCTCGAGTGATTCTAGGACTACCCAGCAACACAAAAGGACAGGTTCAAACCGTGGTAGGTAAAGTCACCCAAAAAGTGACATATGTCACAAAAAGGAAAAAAGAAAACAAAACACCAAAAAACACCAAACAACACAGAAATAAATGTCTTGTGGATGTGGTTTCAAAGAATTTGGCTCAGCAAGAGGAATGTAGCGAAGTAAGAATCAGCTACACAATTGGCTCAAGTTTTTCCCATTGAACAAAATGAGAAGGAAGAAAAATTGTTACACAGCATGAAAATATGCAAAAAACAAAAATAACTCATGGTCCTCTGATGTACGCTGGAATAGGCAAACAGGGGTAGAAATTCCCAGGTATTCTTAAAACAAGCAGGTTCTGAACCAGGCTGCTGCTTCTGGAAGCTTCATCTTCCCAGAGATGATTTCTGAGATTTGCCTCATACAACCTAAAGGAACAAAACCAGAGACAGATATAAATAGAGACAGAACAGCAGACATACCTACACTCACCTTCATCCAAAGCAATAGCAAAGTACAATCTACCACAAGTGATTTCCCAATTCCATTTGAAAGATGTCTTCTCTTTGCCAAGAATATTAATTACCGCACTCACGATATTAAACCCAGGAAATGTTTGGCCTCGAGTTCACAGCAAGTTGCCCTTTCTTTTCAATCACCCACCAGCTCCCGTCACCGAACAGTTGCTGCCACAGGTAAACACCACATGACTTCCCTCAGCTGCTCACTAACCTATTCAACACATTTTAAACTGCTCTTTAAATACAGAAGCATTTTTGGACAGTGGCCAGTAACATTGGTTTAAATAGTTACACTTCATCTGTACGTGGGGACCTTACATTAAGTGACCTGAGGTGGGGTAGGACCTCAGGCAAGGACAAGGTAACAGCCTCATTTCCAGCATATGAGATGAAAAGCAAAAAAATAAAACAAAATCAAAAAGGCATAAGTAAAACATTACACAAATTGAAAGAATTAAATAATAGATTTATTTTCTAGAATTGCTTTTTGGGGGGAACTAAAGAGAGGAAATATTTTAAAACAGTCTTGAAAAGTCAGAAACAAAACAATAAATTGGCACAGGCTGAAAAGGAAAAGAAAAAGATGGGGAAAACCTAAGGGACAGCAGTAATGTGTAGCTCTGACAGGCAATCTCTATTTTCAGCTTTTGTCACCTGATAAAGACAGAACCTCCCTTTGACAGGCAGCTTCCTCTACTTTGACACCCAGTGAATATCTTAATCTCCCAGTCCTCTGCTCTCCAGCTCCTTGCTGTTTGTTTTCAGAGGGAGCAGTCACTATACACTGTTTATTTAGGAAAAAAAACCCCACAACGTTTCCAGTCCTCTTCTACTGGGGATCTGAAATTTGCTCAGTGATACTGATTGAACAGATTTATCTGTTCAAGACTTGTGTATTTGACATTAATTCTCAAATTTTTAAACGGAGCTATCAGAGACACATTAAAGAATCCAGAGTGCAGGATCTTAAAACAATCACTGTCCTATTTTACGTCCATTTCTATGTTGATCAAATGGTCTGGAATTTATTGAACCCTTTCCAGTTGTAGACACTTCCCAGAAAACTCTGTTACACATACTACAAACTCAAGGAAAAAACATGTTAGCTACATCTTTGACAGCTGAGGAAAACACTTTATTGGGAAGCTGATACAAGGAAAAGAAAAATAAATGCTTAAGCTACAGTAAAACTGAGATTTTTAATCACACCAGTCATAAGGGAAAATTCAAGATTCCATAAAACCCCATAACTCTGCTAATTTATGCATACGCACTGCAACAGGCTGCTTAATTAAATGATCGGCGTGATGATCCACCACTGGGATTCAACATGACATAATACTCAGCTAACAGAATACAGACATTGATTGTATTCATTTTTTTTAATAACTGCTAGTTAAAGACATACCATTTGACATGATGTTCCACTGTTGTGTCCATGCAATAAAAAACATCCCAATTACACTAAACACATAGAAGTCAGGATTTAATTCCCCCCTGTCACTCCCCTCTCTTTACCAAGACATTTTTAATAAAAGTTTATTCCCCAACCTTTTACCATGCAGTGGAGGATGCTCCCCAGAAGGCCAGGATAAGCAGCCCTTTTTTTCCTCATTCACCCCACGAAATCGATTCATCTAGTTTCTCTTCTTTTGTTTCTTCCATTCAACATTTCTAGTAGTCATAACTACAGCCACAGATACACTTCCCCTTTTTTTTTATTTCAGTACTGAATGCAGAATAACGCGAATTGCAGAAAGAAGAAAGACTATGAGATTTAACTTGGCAATAAACCATTTCTGTCTTTCTATATTCTGGCTGCAAACCTGCTGTCGGTTCCCTGGCAGAATATTACTCTCTTTACACAACGAGCAGTGTCTTTGTGTATTGTTGAATAACGTAGCAATAATTTCCTCTTGTTGAAGCGAACGGTGAATTATTTATGGTCATGTCTATACGCTATTTGTCTGTTGTGCACAAACACACACCAGCTCCAATCACAAAGCAGAAGTCAACACAAAGCTCTTCAAGTTCCTTGGCCAAAAGCAATCCTCCTCGTAAAAACGAGGATCTTTGGGAATCTCCTAAGTAGGGAACATGGATATAGAATCATAGGATTGTCAAGGTTGAAAGGGACCTTAAAAATCATCTAGTTCCAACTCCCTGCCATGACCAGGGACATCTCCCACCAGATCAGGCTGCCCAGAGCCCCATCCAGCCAGGTCTCGTAAACTTCCAGAGATGACACACGGTGGAACAGGAGGAAAAAATGAATACCCATCTTAGCTTTCAATATACTCCCGCTGAAGCCAAGGGGACCTGCATCACTGTTTCAAATAGAAGGAGACTCAAGTTAACAAATAGATTTATGTGTCACAGAGAACTTAAGAGCAAACAGGTGAGACCTTGTCTCTGCTATTTCCCTGTGCAATTCCTTCATTATTCAAGAAGAGGATCCATTGGGCGTGGGAGAGAAGGCCAGGAGGTAACACGTGCAGGTACCGCGAAAGCAAACAGCACACAGCAGAGCTGCCTGGAGAGCGTTTCAAAAAAAAAAAATAAAATTACTGACAAGGCAGTATCCGCCATGGCCAACTCATTGTCATGCAGCAGGCTAAAGAGGGTTAAAAGTTTAAATTCACCAAAGCCAAATCATGCAAGGCTTTTCATCATTCATGTATTTTTGTTCGCTACATAGACAATATTTGAAACTGGTTTATTTCTCTTAAATAAACATTTCATAAAATTCCTCGCCTTTCTCTTAAAGGATTGTAAGGGAAGACCACAATCAAAGTGTCTATAAAAAGAAATTACTTTCATATGCTCAGTCATATAACTAAAATTCTCCTCCTCTATGAATAAGATAAAACAGATGGAACAGATTTCACATGCACACACATGTTCTGGGCATCTAAGTGTACGACCTATTTTTCAGGTCACCAGCCTTAATATTTGATGTACTTTCCTTTTTTTCATAATTCTTTAAAATAAAGATAAAACTAACTTTTGTTAGTGCTCCTAAGGCTAAATTTTATACCAGCCTTGTTAATTTTAATCACGTGCAGCTTTTCCTATGTGAAAGAGTGGCACGCTGCTAACTTATTACAAACACACTTCTCAGCTGATGCACAACTGTGTCTCTGTTTGATGTCAATGGAGCTACAGCACTTTGTTTCCTCTCCTCACACAATATAATTAAAATGTGGAACTCATTGAGACCAAACATATGAATGCATCTGAAAGACATTAAACAATTAATGGAGAATAAATCTGTCAATGGCTGCTGTCCTCAGTTCTCTCTATTAATACCTGTTCTTACACTCTTTTGCTGAGCATTTATTACAGGCCATGGCCAGAGGCAGAGAGAGGGACAGACTTATCTGTGCCAGTTGCAGATTTGAGCCAATATTGTCCTCTTGGGCAGGGATGTCTAAGACCAGTTAGAAAATAACCCACCAGCTCTCAGGTTAGATGGGATAAAGCTCAGCCAAAGCCTGTCCCTCAGCCACAGCTCCCATAGGCAGCCTCAGCAGGGTCACAAAACACTCTTTTTTTTTTTCCTTCTGTCCATTTTCTTATTGCCACTCATGTCAGGTGTCACATCAGTGTTTGTATGTTGATGTCTGTTATTTCTCTTCATGATGAGAAGCAGCTGCACTACGAGAAGATGCTTCAGCTGAAGCATCATTCAAGGCAGACAGGTGGAGCGTGTCCTCTGCAGCAGGTAGCCCTTGCCTCTGTTTTTTTTTCAAATAACAGCCAGAGATGCTATAAAAATAAGGATAAGCAGCTTTACAAAAACATATTTAAAAAAAGGATTAGGCAAAAGATAATATTGCTGGATCTTACCTGGTCAGTAGCTTCCGAAGCAGCACGTGGCTCCTAATTTAATAATATCTAATGCCTTTCTTTGAGTAACGGCTATGTTGTTTTAGCCACAGTCTCCTAACTGTTTTCACTAATCTGGAAAAATATTCTCACTGCCTAAGTGCTTTCCCTGTCAAATCAGGAAGAGTTGTTTAATTCAAGTTCTCAGTTTGTGCTGCTAATGTTTTTTTGAAATCTCAAGAGCAAAGCTGATCCCACGCCCTCCACGAACACTCCAGAAATGACCTTCCCTTTGGCAATATTTCACTCTCAAGAGCTCCTGTGAAGGCAGGGCTGTCATTAGTCACAAAAAAGACGTAAGTCTTTAAGTGAAATGCTGCCCATGACTTTACCATGATAAACCTTCCGTGACTCACACAAAGAGAAATGGAAACCTGGAAGGGCAGAGAGAGTCTGGTGGAGTAAAACCTTCATAACATTTTCATGCACAAAAAATCCAACAATATTTAGTAGCAGTTGCAGCACAATCACATAAATCCTCTTCCATTTCTCCATCACCCATTGCAGCAGGGACCAGCTTTCACCCCGGACAAGAGCAATTCTTCAACCTGTGCAAAATATCTTTATGACTTCTGGATGCATTAAAAAAAAACCTGCAAAACTGTACCATTACGGATAATTCTTAGCTGCCAAGCTTACTGGAAGGGATAAGGATGGACCCAAAGTACAGGCTGCACGATGATTTTGCTCTCAGAACTGGTGTCTTTAGAACAAGCCAAAGTATTTGTACAAGTGTAGTGAAGTATTTGTACAGCGTGAGGAAGTTAGTCCTGTTAGTGGACAGGTTGTGCCAATTTAATAAACAAATAGTATAAATAATTTTTTTAAAAAATAAAGAGCTCAGGCAAGTAGAGGAAAAAAAAAACCATAGATTTTGTCCATCCTGCTTATTACACATATTTGGCTCCTCAAGTTAACATTTTTGGAAATAAACTTTGCCTGAACTCACCATCCATTTACCTCAGAGAAATCAACAAGCTGCCAGAAAAGAGTTGTGTCAATAAAATGA